GATCAAAGTGCTCATGAGCTTCCTTGCCCTTTGTCACATAGATCCTCAGGTCATGAATGGTGCCCTCCCCAAACTCAGTGAGGACAACAAAGATTGACGAATCTTCTCGTCTGAAACTGATTGCACCGACATATTGATACTGGAAGACGTCCCTGAGAGCAATCTGATTGAGATTGGTCAAGATTGACCCACTGACTTGAAATGATTGAGTAGTACTTGTATGGGCGACAACCACCGTTGATCTTTTGTGACTTATCTGTTTGGTTTGACCGTCTACGGAGATGTAGTTGTGTAGGTTGTCTTGCCGTTCTGATTTCGATAATAGACTGTGTACTCCATTATAGTTTGCCTCTTGATAGTACTGAGTACTCACTTATTGTCCAATGGACGCTGCCCTGTTGACGAGAAAATAGTCTTATCACGACTTTACACTGACTTTTGTTTGCTGGTCGCTTAGGTTAGGTCGCTTGAACTGAGCATAGGAGTCAGAGTATCTCATTGTTGAACTGAGCATAGGAGTCTGAGTATCTCATTGTTGATCATTGACTTTCTTGCTAGCCTCGTCAATGGTCTCGATGGATGAGGATGCGCTGTGTAGTTTCCCATCTGATCCATGGAAGTAAATAGCGTATACAATGAACTATTGGTCTCGCTTTGTCATTGGTTTCGTGTAGAACCGGATGTCTTCGATGGCCCTGTCTTCCCACCCTTTCACTTTGTCTCGATAGTGCGTGCAAGACGTACTGAAGGTGTTTTTATATACATAACTATCTCTTCTTTGTATAATCTTGCACTTGCTGTGAAATGGTTGGTTGGATCCCTGGAGGCCGAAGGCCCTGGGAAACTGCTAGCTGCATGGTCTCTGTTTTATTGTCCAGCTCGGAGTTCGGTTGATTTCAACCTTCGCTCAAAGACTACTAACAATGCGCACGAAGATTCTAAAAGTCGATTGTCTGCTAGAGAGTAGGATGCTGCCAAACACAACCTCTACCATGTACAATGTGAGGAAATCATCAACCCTAACTTCCTGGCCGCATACAGAACGGGGTATATTTTAAGTATGAACTACGTTCACGCAAAGTGCGTATTACGGTCATATAGAGCACAAAACGTGACTAGGCATAGTCGACACTCGTCATCGTGTGTTGATTGACTCTACTCTTGCTCATATATTGAACTAGATGTTGTCAATCGCAGTCTTTGATCATATACGGCTCTAGGTGCTATAGATCACAATCACCATTCACGTACAAGTCATAGTCACTATTCATACATAGCACACAGAGCTGCTAGGTTCAGCCCTTGTTCCTATGTTGCACAGTGTACAATTTAGTATTGACTGCAACTTTCACTTGAATACTATGTAGGGTAATGCTTGTGATGTCTCGGCTCGAATGTTATTTTGACGTTGGTGATATTTTGCAGTTCAAATAGTACACATAGTATTACTAGCATAGGCCAACTGTCATTCTGGTGTGACTGCATGCCGTGATCGGTGTGTGTGTGTGTGTTTCTTGCCCTGCCCCTATATGCGCTGAATGTTTTGTAAAGAGTACTTGATTCTGTGGCGAGTCGCTGGTGACTTAGATAAAACGATCGCCCAACCTTGACACTCATTTCGTATTCATGAAATGGTTTCTAGTTTCAACTCATTTCCAGTTCCCCAGTACGTCAATTGATCAGAAGAATCTCATAAACAGACATAGATGAGGAATAAAATTTTATTCATCAAATGACCAAAGCCCGAGTGAGCCAAAAAAAGGTGAAAGAATGGAAAGACAAAACCAGAACGAAAGGCAAATGAAAACAGGAAACAATAACACGAGCATATGGAATGCGGAAACGCTGGCAAAACGGAAGCGAAAAGGAAAATGAAAACGAGAAGGAAAACGAAAATAAAACGACGCGGAAGCAGAGCGCAACAATCTGACTGCGCACCCAAATGAGCTAAAATGACACTCATGGTTTTTTGGCACTCTTTATCTTGTTTTGTGTGTTCCCTTTTTTCGAGGGGGGGACAGGGAGGGGGGCACAGGAGGAGGGAGTGTAATGACTCAGGGCTTATCTTTTTTTTTTGGTTGGTTGTTTTTGTTATTTTTTGGTTTTGTTTCAGCAATGGAGTTATTTCGGCCTGGAGATCCTGTCACGGAGTAGCACTCCAGCATTCTTTACGGTGAAAGTTATTTTGGCCGATAAAGATTTTGGGTAGGCAAAGTTACTGAGGAGTACAGATCGTATCCAATTTGCAATATTTTATTATTTTACTATTTTTTGCAATACTTCTTTGCGACCTTTTTTTTGCAATATCGGATAAGAATGGGGTACGTGATGCCGACCACCAAATGTTAACAGGGCAGAATAGACTGTTTTTTTTTTTTTTTTTTTTTTTTTTTTTCCCAGTGTGCGTCAAACAGCTGGGCATGTGTGTGCGTGGCCATCAAATCGCTGCCATTAAGATACCATCGGATTGCACCCGGACAGCAGGACGCTGCACAGTAGAAATGAGGCTTTGTTTCAGTTTTTAATCGAAAAAAATAAAAAATCCCCAGGCTACCAGCTGGGCCGCCTGGGTGACCTTGTTTGCCAGGGCGGTCCGGCCATGCAAGGGGCAAAGGAGGTCTCAGCAAAAAAAAAAAAAAAAAAAAAAAAAGCTAGGGAGATATCCCAGGCGCCCAGGTCCCGATGTCACGCCCGGATTGGCGACCGGGTGACCGGTCGGGCATGACCCCCGGGCATGGCCCCGGGCAGCCCCAGCACAAAAAAAAAAAATAAAAAAAAAATCAAATCCAAAGAAATCTGAAAAAAATTATGTTGTGTAGAATTGCAATACAAACAACTTTTGTCTGAGGGTCACATCAGAATTCGTCAAAGAACTAAAGATAAAAAAGAAAATAACCAGATCACACTAAGGCACCCCTTTTTAAAGTTTAAACCCCTTTAGCCCCTTTAAAATTCATTTACACTCCCCTTTCCCCCCCTTGACAGCCAACACTCAAAAAAAGACAAGAGCCCGGATTTGGGCTCCTCTCGGAGAGCGCGGAAAAACCCCMCCGCCAATTTTTTTTTTTTTACCATGACCGGGTCACCTGGGCGTCACGCCTGGGGGACCGGCCGGTCATGAAAATCTTCCTAGGAAAAAAGTGTAAAAAACTATGTTATGCAGAAAAATAAAGTGAACAAGTTCTGCCTCAGGGTCACATCGAAAATCTTTACCGAATATAAAATAAAGAATAAACTTCAATAAGCTTGAATAAAGTTTTTTTCTTTTTTTTTGGCCCGGCCTCGGAAGTGGTCCCGGGCCACTCTGGTAGCCTAGAAAATTCCTTTTTACAAAAAAAGCTCAACAACTGTGACAGAGTTTCCCATGTTTGGAGAAATGGTTTTCTTTGGTGACAATTTCATTTTTTTTGAATTTTTTTTTTTATACAGAACGGTTCTAATGCAGCCTTCCTTAACCGCACTTGTCACACAGAGTGGACATCGTCGTCTCTGCTATGGATGTCGACCTACCACGCCTTTGTCAGTCACTGGATGCTCGCTGAGTGCTGCGCACACAGGTGTAATGATCAACTTATCATATGCTACAGCAGGCAACGGGGTGCAGCGGGGGAGGTGGGGGCGTTCGCAGGAGGAAGCGGGCACTGCATTCTGTGCTGGAAAGTGAAATGTCACTTTTGGGCTAAGTCTGTCTGATCAGACTGATGTTTCGACATTTGCGGCGCTGCGAGGGAGCGGCAGTCCATTTGTTGTTCCTGCCCCCGGGAATCTGAAAAAACTCGTGTGGAAAAAAATGAAATGTCAATTTTTCGGGCTAAGTCTGTCTGATCAGACTCATCATCAGAGTCTTCGGTCTAATACCTCGACATTTGCCCCGAGTCCCTAGCAGGACTTTTTCGAGCCATTGGTTCGTGTGGATCACACAGATTTTTACACAGAGTTTTACACACATTTTTACACGGATTTTTACACAGATTTTTACACGGATTTCTTATACGGATTCTTACACATGTAAGCAGATTTGTACTTGTTTTTACACAGATTTACACAGGTTCTTACACAGATTTGGGGATCTCTTTTGGGGTGCCATCACTGCGAGGAAAATGAACAGGTAGGAACTGTCAGAACATTGTTTTTGTTGGAGTTCGTCTTTTTCCGCTTGCGTGACGTGGATGTCACTGTCGTTACAACTCTTTGTCTAGCGGGCGGTTGGAAAAACTCCATCCTGCACCACCACATGCTCAAGCCCTAGGAGGACAAACTGACTGTGTGCTTTTGGCGCATAGTGCACTTCAGGAGTCAACAGGATTCGGCACCAGGTGGTCCTGTTGTCCGATTCCGTCTACGACGGTGGTAGCTTTCTCTGTCAGGGGTTGTTTATCTCCTGTGCATCTTTTGAAACCCCCAAATAGTAACTGATTTCTCAACTGCAACTTACTGAAGTTCTCTCTCTCTCTCTCTCTCTCTCTCTCTCTCTCAAGTGAACTTCTTGCCTGATAGAGAACAGTGAAAAGGGAGAAAGAAGAAAAAACTTTAAAAAAGAAAAAAAACATTTTCACCATCTAATTGAAAAGAAGAAAGAAAAAAAAACTTAAAAAGGAACTTAAAAAGGATGACAGTCTGTTTGATGCATCCCTAGTCTCTCTCTCTCTCTCTCTTGATGTTGGCCTTGCTGAATGAACCGTAGTTTCTGAAAGAACCTCTTGAATGGTTAACTGCGGTTAACTGTGGTTAACTGTGGTTAACTGTAGTTAACTGGGAGAGGTTAACTAGAGAGTTGAGTACCTGGGATCTAACCAACCTGAGTTTCTGAAGGAACCTATTGAAGGGTTAACTGTGGGGTTAACTGTGGGGTTAACTGGGGTTAACCGTGAGGACTGGGAGAGGTTAACTAGAGAGTTGGGTTGCCTGGGATCTAACCAACCTGAATTTCTGAAGGAACCTATTGAATGGTTAACTGTGGGGTTAACTGTGGTTAACTGTGGGGTTAACTGTGGTTAACTGTGGGGTTAACTGTGATTAACTGTGGTTAACTTTGATGACTGGGAGAGGTTAACTAGAGAGTTGGGTTGCCTGGGATCTAACTCGAGCCACCTGGGAGTTAACCAACCTGAGTTTTCTAAACTCCTAGTCAATATCTCTGGAGGTCCACAGAGCCGCTGTAGTAGGCGGGGAGTGGGAACCGGATATGCCGATCTGGCTTAGGAACCGAAGAGCTGTCGGCGGTCACGAACTGGCGGTCGAAGAGTAGTAGCAGCGATGTTCATTCATTCTGCACAACTTCTGTTTTAGAGGAAGTCGATGTAATTAGCGACCCAATTTTGTAATTAGAATCCCTGAAATGAACTTCACAGGCTTCTCTTTTCGTTGTGCCTGGTGCTCTTAGAGATCTCCTTTGCCCGATTTGTCTCCACACGTGTGCTTGGTGCCGTGCGCTGTATTCACATAGCTACGATCGATGGTCCGTTTTTGTGGGCGTATGACACACTGTGAGGGCATGATTCATACTAGCACTTTCCTACATGTATCTGACTGCAATTACGGCCTGAACTGGATGAATCTGACTGCAATCTTGTCCAGAGCTCAGTAGAAAAAGTCCTACTGTGAGAGTATGCCCTGCGTGGGGTCTTCTACTTTCCTCTGCATCGATGGATAATAGATATATATATAGCCTGCAGTTGTGATAGTGATCTTGTCTTTGCTCTCTGTCAACTTAGCCGCTACAAGCATCAGAGCCGATGAGTTTGTCCCTGTTGCGCTCACACTTGTGCAGGGGCAAAGGAGAGATGGCCATCCTCACTCTTTTCGTCTCCCTCCTAGCTGTCACTGCCATCATCTTCGTTCTTGTGCTTCATGGGGATGGCCCGATCACAATTGCAGGACTAGGGAACCCCTTTCCGACTGTTGCGGGCCCCCATATCCTCCGATTTCCGCCTCCACCCGATGACGATCACAGACAAGAGTTCAGTTTTCACTCACCTAGGCCTATAATGGGCATCATGCAAGGAAGAGCGCAGGATGGTGGTGGTTTCGCGGGGCAAGAGCAGGCGTTGCCCTCGGCATCGCCTGGCGAACCACTCCCCTTTGTAGTTCTACATGGAATTAGTGACCAGTGTTCGAACGATGGGGTGAGTATGTTCGTCGACACCTTGAATAGATACGTTCCTGGTGCCGATGGACTGTGTTTGCACATCGGGAACGGAGTCGAAGACTCTTGGCTGATGCCTATGCGAAAGCAGGTGGATATCGCTTGCAAATCGATCAAGCGAACTCCTCGCCTGCGAAACGGTTTCAATCTCATCGGCCTTTCTCAGGGCTGTCTTCTTGGTCGCGCATACATAGAATGGTGCACGGATGGTCCCCCTGTGCACAACTACATTGCAATTGCCGGGCCCAATGCCGGGACTGCTGCAGTCCCGCTGTGCACCGACTTGTTCGTTTGTTACTTTGTGAACCTCTTGCTCCAGCTGGGCATGTACACAAAGTGGGCTCAGAATCACGTGGCACCAACCGGGTACGTCAAGATCCCTAGCGGCATGAGCAGCTATCTCCGCGGGTCCCGGTTCCTACCGTACTTGAACAACGAGCATAGGTACGCGAGAAAGAGGGCATATGCTCATCGATTTGCGTCACTTAACCGTCTCGTTCTGATCATGTTCGAACAGGACCGAGTCATCATTCCCAAGGAGACCGCCTGGTTCGGATGGTACCTTCCCGAAGATAGCGTGACAAGGGTAGTGCCTGTGAACGAGACCCGGCTGTACAAGGAGGATCTGATTGGTCTACGGAGCTTAGACGAGGCTGGGAAAGTTGTCTTTGTAGCGCTTCCCGGCGGCCATCTTCAGCTTACGCATGCCGCAATTCGGGATTACGTCGTGCCATACTTGATAATGAATTCGTCGTCTCATTCGCCACGATGATGACCCAGGCGCCGCTCCTGGTCTACGGAACTTGAGAGGAGGCTGGGAAAGTGGTCTTTGTAGCGCTTCCCGGCGGCCATCTTCAACGTATGCATGCTGCTATTCGGGATTACGTCATGCCATACTTGATGATGAATTCATCTTCTCATTCGCCATGGTGACCCTCTCTGACGCCGGCCCTGGTCTATGGAACGTAGAGGAGACTGGGAAAGTGGTCTTTGTAGCGCTGCCCAGTGGCCATCTTCGACTTACGCATGCCGCAACTCGAGATTACATCGTGCCGTACTTGATGATGAATTCATAATCTCATTCACCATGATGATGACCCTGTCAGGCGCCCCCCGTTCCTCTTCTACCGGCGAGGTATTCGGACATCTGTTCACAAACCTTCCATATCCGTCCGCCTTTGCTTGTACAGCACCAGCATAGAATCAGTGACGGATATGCCGATATGCGTGTCGTCGCATAGATCCGAACTTCGGACTCTCGTAGAGATGGTGTACATTTGTAATGTTCTTCTTCGTAGCACATCGATCTGCATGATGCGCGCGTTGTCTCATAGAATGAAAATGGGGGAAGAGACGAAACGAAATTCAATTTGATTCAACTGAGGAAACACTTACGTTACGACTTTCCTGGATGTATTTGACTGGAATTGCAGCCTCCGTTGGATGTATCTGACTGCAATTACATCCCGAGCTCAGTCGAAAAGTCCTAGTGTGAGTAACTCATGACTGTTTCTAATCCGTAGGACTGGGTCCAAACTCTTTGTGATCTACTGCTCCTCTTTGTAGCCGACTCTTCTCCCTCCTTTTTTGTTTTTTTTGGTCCTCCGTGCCTGTAAGCTGGTGGGTGATTTGTCTGCAGAAATGTGAGCTGGTAATACCCTAGTTTACATCGTCATAGCAATTCCTTTGATCAGTAGCCGTGTCACTGCGGCTTGTACCCCCCCTCGCCCCCCACTTTTTCTTTTTTGTCTTTCTTTGGGTGGATTCAACTGGATTGTACCGCTTAGTACTCCTTCAGGTTGATTGTTTGCCTGTGTCGATATGATCTTGCTCCGCTGTCAAAGATGTGCGTTTTTTTTTTTTTTTTTTTGCAAAAATGTGTGGTTCTACATGAAGGATCATCGAAGATGCATTTTGTTTGTCGTTTTGTTCGTCGTTTTGCTTGTCGTTTTGTTTGTCGTTTTGTTTGTCGTCTTACTTGTCGTTTTGTTTCATGTCGTTAGGAGGTCGCTGAGGCTCCTCACGGCAAATCATAGTACTTAAGGCAGACTCACACTAGGCACTCAAAATCGCAGAATCGCAAAATCAGCGGCCAGATCCCGTCCTCCGAATCGGAGAACTCGATCTGGTCGATCATTTTGCTATTCTCAGTATTCTGTGATTTCGAGAGCCTAGTGCGAGTATACTCTTTACTCCTTTTCAGCCTTTTCAGGTGGCTTATTTCCTGTGGCCATACTATCTCTTAGCTTTATCTTTAAAAAAATGTATCTAACCACAAGGATGTCTCTGACGCCAATTACGTCCAGAACCAAGTCACAAAAGTCTTCGTCTGAGTACGCCCTGAGTATTTTCAGGTCGATTGTTTCCAATGTGCCGATTTGATCTTTATCCCTGTGCAACGGAATTGTGCTGCTGGTGGTACTGAATACAATGTACTATGCATGCCGCTATTCATTTTAAGGAGCCATCTTACTGAACACGCGGACGGATGCTACCACTTTGTCCTTTGGATATGTCCCTCTCTCTCTCTCTCTCTCTCTCTCTCTCTCTCTCTCTCTCTCTCTCTCTCTCTCTCTCTCTCTCTCTCTCTCTCTCTCTCTCTCCCTTTGGATGTTGCAGACCTCTGTGGTGTGCACGTTGATTCGACTCGTCTTCAGGATTCACACTCATGATGTGTGTACTGAGCTTTACCGACAAATTACATGGGTGTATCATTGTGTATCATTCCACCGCCCGATGGAGGGAGGAAGGGGTTGTCTATATGCTTGTGTGGGCTGCCAGTGACTCTTGGAGGGGGGGGGGGATCTCTTAAGCTGTCGTTCGCAGGACTGAGCACGATTTTCTAGCTCTGAAAAATAAAAAAAATAATATTAAAAATATTAAAGAGGATCCATTTCCTAGCTCTGAAAATGTGAAGAGTTTTAAAATAATTAAAAAAAGGTTTTGATAACTGTCATACTTCATCGGAGTCGTACTTGATAATCTGTCTGATGATTTTCGTAGGGGAGGGGGGGGACCTGAGGGGAGGGAGGCACAGGGATTAGTCCTGTTGGTATGGTGGTCCTTGATGTTACCGGCTGTCCCCTGTCCGGTATGGCCCACCTACTGGTCGGGAGCAGCCCCCGCATGTTCCCTCGGGAACACGGTTCTGGCTGCTACGGGGTTCCCCGTATGCCTACAATTAGGAGTAGTGGTAGGTAGGTAGTGTGAGGTGAAATTGAGAGAAGGATAAAGCTTTATATAATAAAAAAAAATCATAATAATAATAAAATTATAAATGGCATTAAGAAAATGAAAATGACATAAAATTGATGAAATAGAAGAAAAAAATCCGCGTGGGGTGCACGGTTAACTGATGCAGAGATTCCGTCCCCGTGTAATCCGTATCATCATCTGAAACTCAGGGCATATTCACACCAGCACTTCTTTGAAATGTATCTGACCGCAATTACGGCCAGACCTGGATGAATCTGACTGCAATCATGTCCAGAGCTTAGTAGAAAAAGTCTTGAGTGTGTGAGTATGGACCTCGGTCCAGTACTCAACATTCTACATGCATTTGGAAGCCTTCCTGGGCCAGGTGCATTTGGACGAGTCCAACATTTTGAATGTCTCTGGATGACCGCAAGGTCCAGATTCTTCATATAGTGTTGTGTAGTAGAGCGAGGCCCTATGTCCTGAGTATGTGAAAGATCTCAGAGGAGTTGTGCCACAAGAAGCGAGAGACGTTAAGTGCGAAGTGATTTTTTTCAACTTTTTCTTTTAACCACCAGTACTTGACCCAGCTATAGGCTGTGTAAAAAGTAGAAACGTTTCGCGTCGGATGAATTTGGCCGCTCCTTCAGTGGCCCGTACATTTCCTAAAATCGTGGCTTGTTAACAGACATGACTTTAGGAAGTACTGGTGGTTTAAGGTTTTACGGACTGTCCATCGAGCTGGTTGGGCGCGGCGCACACAACAAACAATATAGCCGATCGCCAGAATGACACATGGCATCATTTCACAGCTGTAGAAAAAGATTTTTTCGGGAGCAGATGCTCACCGTCCCCCCTTCAGATGATCGTGTGATGGGGTTCTTCTCAGCAGTCCGCAGCGGGTATGACAGTACTTTGACATGGGGTTGAGACACATTGACGGCGACGGCAACGGCGACGGCGATGACGACGACGACGACGATGACGGCGACCAGACGACGGCAACGATGATGGCGACGACCAGATGACGACAACGACAATGATGGTGGGAATGGAAGCAAAGGCACAGCTTATAGGTACTAAAGTCGCGGGGGATCAAGGCAGAAACGTTCGGCAGGCTGAGTCGAGGTGGCTTGAAGTGTGAAAACGTTCTGCAGGACGGGCTGTAACTGAGGAATAGATTGTGATGTCTCTATACAGTGCAAGTGTTTCCACAAAAAAAAAAAAAAAAAAAAAAAAAAAGATTTAATCGAAGTGTTTGCCTTGTATATTTGGAATTTGTCCGCAAAGTGGCGGTTGTGTACAATATGCTCTTTCATCTGTCCATCCAGGGTTAACCCTGGGTATTACCATCATTTTTTTTTAAATTAATTATAAATAGATTTGATTATCGTCTGACTGTCATAATCATACATCTTTCGGAATTGGAACTGTATATTTCATCTTGGGTATATACTATATACTTGATAAGTCGATAATTAACAATTACTTGATTAATTAAAATTAAATGATTAATTTTGATTACTTTATATTATTATTATTATTATTATTATTATTATTATTATAATATAATTTGACTTGCCAGAATAGTTGGAACTTGGAAGTCCAATATTTGTCATACCTATATTTGTTTTTAGTAATTAGAATTTTTGAAGACTACACTTGATCTTAATAATAAATTAATAATTGATATGCTGATTAAAAGGGGGGGTGAGGGGGGAAGGGGGGGGAGGAGGGGGATGCAGCAATGCATTCAGGAAGGAGGGCGGGGGTGTGGGGTGGGGGGATTGTAGTTGAGGGAGCAGTAGTGCCCCCCTGATTGCTCCTTCCTAAAGCTTGGTTGCTTTTTTTTTTTTTTTTTTTAAATGAACTTGCTCGCTTGGTTGTCCTTTGAAGGGGGAAGCAGTCATATCCTTTCTCATGATCTATTATAGTATTATAAAATTTTATAATTCCATTCACTTTTTTTTTTTACATTTTCAAACTTTTTATTTTGGAACTTGGTCAATTCTGCCTCACAATTATAAGAAGAGCCGGCATCGAAGGATAAACATTTTAAAAAGAAAAATGTTGCTATGGACGCTTGGGTGTCGGAAGCCAGGTCCGTAATAAGGTGACTCACCATTTTTTAGTGAAAAAAAAAGAAAAGAAAAAAAAGGTTATCCCTGTGGTGACTTTTCTGACACCTCTAGCTTCAAGTAACTGACATGCAAGCACAGATTCTCAGTACCGTCTTCCCCCAAACACAACACACCCTCATTTTGACTGTATCTGGACGGAAGAATAGTCTGAATACATTCACTGTCAGGCTGTGTCATGCTCAGGGGAAGACGGCAGGAACCCTTGGGCGCCATGTGCGTTGAAGGTATCGATGGCTCATGGATGTCTGCCATTCACATTGTAGTATCGAATTTCGCTGCTGCCCTCATCGTTGCGAGGGCCAAAATATCCGTTTGCCGAGCGAAAAATTTTGGACCATTGTGGTCCCCATTTGTTTTTTCATGCGTGGCATCATGCATCCTTGCGCAGGGGCGATAGTGTAATGCAAAACATAAATATTACATATTCTATAGAATTTTGCAATCAGACTCACTTTCTTCCTCACTTCGCATACATGCAAACAGATAGCAATTCACACTGGCGCCAGGCGCCCACTCGAAGCTCAGAGATATGGAACCAAGAACACAGTTCAGATGCAAACTCGCTTCATCCAGCTATGGCGCAACAGCGCCCGTACACCCAACTCTCGTCACTGTGTCCAACACCACTGTTCGCACGTACCCCACTCTGGATCACCCTGAATACTACCACGCACGCACACTCAGCCTATCTTCTAACCTACAGCGGATATGGCCGCTTGCCACTACTGCTATGGTTACAGCTCGCTCTTCAGCCCACTTCGTCTTCGGGCAACCTGCAGACCACCTTCGCGCAAGACGCTGTAGCAGCGCTTCCGCATGGCTTACACAGCGAATGAATGCCTCTTGATTTATACTTCTGTAACTCGTTGGTCTGCCCCTTTCCCAGGCCCTTGGTGCACACAGTCCCACACGGTACTTGCTTGACTGGACTCTGACTGACTGGGACCGGTACGTCTGACTGCATGGGTTTTCACTGCCAACTCGACGCAGTCGCACTGCCGATGTAACGCAGTTGGGCTCACCACTTGCCCACTTGCCTCTGGCCAAACGTGAGGCAACTTCGAAGGACCTCCCGGAAGTTTGTGGACTTGACCTTTCGAGTACTGTAGCAGCTACGACCTTGACCTTTCGGGACTGTAGCAGCTACGACCTTGACCTTTCGGAATACCTATAGCTACGACCTCTACGGATCGAACCCCTACCACTACACAGACCTACGACAACCGACAAACAACTACAAAGCACAGGTCACGGGTTCAAACACTCGGGGGTCGACTCCATACTGTACATGGGCAAAGTTAGGTCCGGGGATCGAACATCACGAGAAAGAGAGAGCCACCGTTGTTGACAACCTCAGGAAAGCCCAACATAGAATGATAGAGCAAGCTAACAAGCATCGTCGCCCCTCACAGTTTCAAGTAGGCGACTTAGTTTGGGTCAAGTCAAAAGAATTTGCTCCTGAGGAGAACATCTCACAGAAGTTGTTACCTGCGTATAGAGGACTGTGGCCAGTCCTAGAAGTCAAGGGCGGAGAGGATGGACCGTCCTATACTATTGAGATTCCAGCACACCTCCACACCTACCCAGTGTTCCATGCGTCAAAGTTGTTGCCTTGCGTTACAAGTCAAAAGTTTCCATCACGCAGATCTATGATTCCTCCAGATATGGATGGGAGATACGACATTGAAGGGATAGTAGGTGAGGATGTCTTCATGACAGGAGGTAGAGGTCGTCCCCAGAAGCAATACAAAGTCAGATTTGCCTATCAAGAGCCAGAAGATGACCGCTGGTTCACACGAACAGAACTTCTAGAGACAGCTCCCGATATAGTCCGAGCTTACGAAAGAGATAAGAAAGGTAAAGGTCCTGCCTCAGACTGAAGTGTTCTCGGAGGACCTCGAATTTAGGCCGGCGGGAGTGAAACAGTTTTCACCTTTCTGCAGTCACAAATTATCGGGAGATAGCCTCTGAATCCGATCCCGGTTAAATCCCTCGAACAGTCTGCGCGGTCTGAAGGACTTGTGCAATTCGTTGGGAGTGCGACACGTAGATAAGTGCACGCCATTATTGTAGGCACTGACTACCTTTGGGAGCGTCTCATCCCAGTTGATCTGATCGGGCCTAATGTACATTCTAAGAACTTGCTGCAGGAGCTTATTGATCTGTTTAGTCTGACCGTTAGTCTCTACATGACGGCCAGATAACATCAGCAACTTTGAGCCATAAAGTTTCATCAGTTCTTGCCAGTTCTGACTGGTGAACCTGGTGTCTTCCTCACTAACTATTGACAGCGGTATACCATGTTCATTGACCCAATGATCAAAGAACTTCTAAACAACTAAATCTGCTCGTGCCTCTGCAGGCAGAGGAACAAGAACTGCATACTTGCTAAATCTATCAACTATAACCATGACTTGACTTTTGCCATGCATAGTCTTGACTTGAGTATCCATAAAGTCAACGGACCCAGAATCCCCAGGTCTGTCAGGAATAGGCAAGGGTCTGAGAAGACCAAGAGGGGCTTGCGTAGTAGTCTTGTTTCTCTGACAGACTTCACAACTACGTACGTACTCTATGAAGTCGGCCTTCATTCCAGGCCAGATATACGCGTGCATGAGGTTGGCTAGTGTCTTTTGCCACCCAAAGTGTCCCTCTGTGTCGTGGCATTCCCCTAAGATCAAACTACGGATCTCTGGTTCAGACTTTGGAGCTTCCCTAACTCTCTTGAGGAGGTCACTATAGATAGGGTCCTGTGCATATGCCTCTCTAACTTTCTGCTGCAGGTCTCTCCCTATCTCCAGATAGTGAACTATTGCCCCAAAGTAATCAGCTCTCCTACTTGGAGCATCCGCAATGTACTTCCCCTTTACTGGCTTAAGTTCGAAGTCATCCTGATCTAATTCAGTGGCCCACCTAGTAAGCTTAGGTGTCATCTTGGCCTGCGTCTTCAACCAGCTTAGTGTCTCGTGGTCTGAATAGACTTTGAAGTGTCTCCCAAGCAAGTAGTGCTTCCAATGATCTAGTGCTTCCCTAAGAGTGTAGAGTTCCCTCTCATAGGTTGATGTCGCTATCTTCTCTGAAGGCATCCTTGCAGACATGAACTCTGGGCCTATATCCATTGTCATTGTCTTGCTGTAAAACAACACCTATGCCATACTGACTTGCGTTGGTCGTAACAGCGAAAGGCAGGCACGGATCGGCTACCTTAAGGACTTGATATTCTATCAGAGCCCGCTTCAATCTCTTTAGGGCAGATATGCAGTCCTGGTCTCACTTCCAAATTGCTTCTTTCTTTAGCAACCTGCGAAGGGGTGCAATGATGGTGGAGAAGTTCTTGACAAATTTCCTATAGTAGTTAGCTAGGCCTAGGAACGACCGCAACTCTGTCAGTGTGCGGGTCGTTGGCCAATCTCTAATCGATGCGATTTTGCTGTCTTCAGGTCTAATGCCATTCCGTCTAAGACGTGGCCTAAGTACAAACTTGGGTCTTGGCCCATTCACACTTCTTCTCGTTGATCTTGAAGTTAGCTTCTCTAAGTCTCCAAGACCTGCCTCACTGCCTCAGATGACCCTCATGCTCCTGGAGGGTCTTGCTAAAGACTAAAATATCATCTAGATACACTACCACGAATCTATCTCACCATAGCTCTGGAATGTAGTTGGCGCATTGGTTAGTCCAAAGGGCATAACTACAAACTCATAGTGCCCATATCTAGTCCGGAATGATGTCTTATACTGATCATCAGGGTGAACCTCTATCTGATGATAATCGGACTTTAAGTCTATCTTTGAGAAATATTTGTAGCCCTGCACCCGATCCAACAAGTCATCTATACGGGGCAGTGGTTCTGCATTCTTTACTGTAATCGCATTAAGACCTCTATAGTCTATGCACATGCGCAACTCGCTCTCCTTCTTCAGGACAAAAAGAACAGGTGCTCCAAATGGAGATGAACTGGGCCTAATCCAACCCTTTTCGAGGAGCTCGACCAATTGCTTGCGCAACTCCTCTAACTCCCTTGGGGACATTTTGTACACAACACCCTTAGGAGTCTTACTGGTAAGCGCTATCTCTATGCGATGCTGGATTGGCCGCGGTACTACTACTGTCGGCGGCTTAGCTAAGTCTGTAAACTCCTCCAGCAATTTGGCAATAGCAGGGTCTATGGGTCTCTCTTCCTTAGGCTCAGTGATTGGCCTAACATAGGCTACAAAACCTGCTCTTCTAACTGCTCCTTCTTCACTGAACGCACAAACGCGGGAGCGCTGAGACAACAATGTGCCAGTGTTATCTACTCCCAACACATGAAACAGGCGAGCAGTCTTAACCTCACTTGTAGGACTAGGGAGCCTACACTCGTGCTCTCTCAAATGGAGTGTGGCTCTTGCTGCCTCTCCCCAGTCCATCCCTAGGACCATATCAAAAGGAAGGCTATCCTCTACGAGGAGAGTCGGGGAATGGAGAATTTTCTCCACCTTCCCATCTTTGTCCAGGCGAAAGTACGCCTGGACTCCCTCAACGTAATCCTTACTCGCATAGTGCGATTGTCTGCAAGGATACTAACTATAGGGTCTGCTAACTTTTGGACCTTTAAACCCAACTTTAACTTCTGCAGTGCCTTTCTACTAATATAGCTGCGTGTAGCCCCACTATCTATAAGGGCCCCTACTCTGCCTCTAAAAATCTCTACATGTACTAAGTCTAGCTGTTCCTTCGCATCGTTCTTGGCCCAGGCAGGCATCCTCTCCTTCAATTGCTCTGCCACGTTTGTGAGGGAAGTGCCTAGAGAGACTCTAACACAAGCAGTCTCAGGACAACTATCTAGGCACTGACCAACAACCTCCGCCATAGACACATGTGGTTTGGGAGTTTCTATGTGGTGCGCGCACTCTTCTCCACATGGTCTAGGGATGGGGGCAGTTGCGACCCCTACCAGCGGTTGCCTTTTGCTGCTTGTGAAGCAAATCGGGCCTATCTGTACTTAGGGCAATATTTAATGATATGACCAGGATCAACGCAATAGATGCACTGATCCTGATCGATCCTCCTCTGCCAAATTGTTTGTTCTAGGCCCAAATCTTCCCTAGGCCTTCCCTGTGGCATATCAGGGTGCCATCCACCTCTCCTATAAGGTGAGCGATTAGAACTAGAGCGGTTTGGCGGGGGACCTTGACCCCTACCTCCCGATTATCGGCCTCCTCTACCACCAACCCCCTGATCGCCCTGTCCACGACCACCAGAGGCCCGAACCCTTTGGCCCTGGCCTCTCCCTCTTCCTTGCGGCCTCCCTCCAGCCGCGATAGCAGCATAAGTCCTCCCCTGACCTACACTACCATCATCCCCTTCGAGGCCCCATTCTATCTGATCAAATGGGACCTCTTCCATACCACCCTCATCTAACGTAAGGATCAGGTGATCCTTGCTCTTAACCTGACCTGAGATGGTACGACCTTTCCACTTCTTTCCCTTATCCAAGTCCTTATGCCAGAAAGTGGAAACTGACATGGACTGGGCCTCACATGCTACCATTTCCCTACTCAAGTTATCGTAGGTCATGATAGACTCTCTACTCCTCCCAAAGAAGTGCCCGCACAAGGGCTTGGACATGGCACGATAGAACAAGTTGACTAACTGGGTCTCGGTGACCCCATGATCAGGAACAGTGACCAACTCATCCATGACACCCTTGAGTGCCCTGGCGCTCCTCCACTGGCGGGAATGGATGGTCTGCAGTTTGTCAGAAACTCTAACGCTTCGTGTGACATCTGCAACCCTTTCGCGCAGTAACTTGAAAAACTCACTAAGGGGAGTGATTGCAAAATAGGCAACCATATCGTTATTGTAATTAGCAGCACGACACAACGATCTGGCGAAGCTTGCTGCTTCGTCTTTGAGGGCATGGAAAGCTATTAGGATATGTTCGTCAGGAGATCTTTTGCAGATGCACATAGGAGTTCACATTGGCCTCCCAGTTGTCGAAGTTCTCCTTCTTTGCACTGTAGAAATCGGGGAGCTTCACCTTAACGGACTCCCTACGGGGACGAGCTTCCTCCTCTTTTGGTGCAGCCAACTTGGCGCCCTCTATGGCGCCTGTACATAATCGCTCCGTGTTCTCTAATCTTGTTTGCACTTCTGAGCCCACGTGCACAACATTTCACGTGCAAACTCCCTAAACCCCAATCGTATTGATTGCACGACTATGTCCTGACTCCTCTTAAATTGGTACTGCCTCTCCTCAGCCTGCGCTAGGCGCCCTATACTCTTCGCCATCACCTCCATTTTTTCTTTCAACTCCGCCTGTGCCTCCATTTGCACCCTTAACTGTTTTACCTCCTCCAGTTCCTTCGCCGCCTTACTCGCCGCCTCCATTCTCTTTTTCCTCTCCCTAGGCAGACGCAACTTCCGTAACTTTTTTCCCTCTTCTGTCGTCTGCCGTTTGAGGGGATCTTCCTCGGCTTCCAATTTTTTCACGACCGCCTCCTGTTCTTCCCTAGGAACATATAACATCGCCTCCTCCTCTTCTCCCAGAGACAGATTGGCAACCCATTCAAAAACCTTCTTCTCCAGCCAAGAATCCTCTTTCTTTGTGCCACTCGTCTCGCCTCTGTCCCTGACACTTCTCCTAATTAGGGGCACTTCTTCTTCCACCTTTTTCTCTTCTTCTTCTTCTGCATCCACTGCTTTCATCTTTTCTTCCTCCTTTACCCTTTCCAACTCTTCCTCCAACTTCTTTCTTTTTGCGGCCTGCTCCTGCAACAAGGCCAGCTTCTTGGCCTGCTTCACAACCTCCCTCTTCTCCTTCTTGGCCTTCTGTTCGGCTAAGATCCTCGCAGCCTCCTCCTCTTGTTCCGGGGTGTAGGGAGTGGTGCTCGCACCTCCCCTGGTGTCTACTCTACACGTGAAAGTGTTCCAGAACCCCAGGGGAAAAAGGAGACACCAAAGGGTCCCCCAGAGGGAGAACCCCACGAGCAGACCGTACATAGGGTAGTCGTCCATGGTGTCAGGTGCACGACAATGATTGTCCCACTCCTCACCACTTAGACCTACCCACTTGACTGACTGACTAATTGTCTAAGGACCACAAAGCCTTACCCTTTGATCCAGCCACGTTACCATGGCCGACGGAAGCTTTCGCTACCACTGTCCTTTACAATCCAGACCGCAGATGCCCAACACCTACGGTCAATCCCACCTGGCTTTCTCTCCGGTTCAGAACCCTGTCAACTATGGTCGCTATCGTAGACCTATTCCTAAGCTGTCACTACAGGACCTTAGCGCTGATCAGGAGGCGTTTAAGGAGATCCCCCATAACTCCTCAGGAATTCTTTAACGTCGCAGACAGGACGACGTGATCAGCAAGTCCTCTCAAGACTTAGACAGCTTGTTGTGCAACCCACAACTCGGATTTTGGGCCTACTGTACCACACCGAGCAGCCCGCCGGTCTGTCCCGGTCCTTGGGAGGGTTCATGTCCTCCGGGTCGGTCGAGTCGTCAGACACAACCTTTAGCCCTACTCAGCCCTTGTGGGTTTGGTCAACAAAGCTCTATGACCTCATTCACGGAGTTCCTATCACCTGGACATGAGAGACTCTATGCAGAAAGAAGAGACAGACAAACTCAGCAAGTATCATGGGGTGAGTGCACATCCATAGGGCGAGGGAATAGGCTGAGGGCTTGGCGAGATTATACCAACTCCAGCTTGGTCAATTTCGTAGTCAACAACTCCGGTCAACGCCTTGGTCAACGCTCGGTCAACGCGACCAAACGCCCCGGTCAACGCTCTGGTCAACCTCGGTCAATGCCTTGGTCAACGCCTTGGTCAATGCTTGAGTCAACGCCCAAGTCAACTTTGGTCAACTTTGGTCAACTTTGGTCAATCCTTTGGTCAACGCCTTTGTCAACCTTCAGCTCGGCTATGGCTGTCGACACCTTCTCTCTCTCCAACCCTGGGTTCTCTCTCTGGTCAACCCTTTGGTCAACGCCTTGGTCAACCTTCAGCTCGGCTATGGCTGCCGACACTTTCTCTCTCTCCAACCCTCGCTTATCTTTCTCCCTCCTTTCTTCTCCCTCACTACTTCTCTCTTCACCCCAGCTATGTCTTTCTTCTTCGTCGTCTCTCCCTTCTCCTTCCTCGGCTATAGCGTCTTTCTCATCCTTCATCTCTCCCTTCTTCTTTACTCGTCTTCTTTCTTTCACCTCCGTGTCCGAGCTCCGTGGCTATGATCGCCTTCTTCCTTGAACCGCACAACAATCTTCTATTGCTCCTCTCTCTCTC